CCCTGTTGCTTGTCACCTTCTTGCCACTTTCACTCACTAATGGGCCAATCATTTCCTTCACTTTTTTCTTGTTTTTTACATGTTGAAAGAAGCTTTTTTTGTTATTTTTGACTTTGGTTGCAAGCCTTAGTTCATTTTGAGCCTTAGCTTTCCTCACTTCATCTTTGCAGGCTTGGGCTATTTGCTGATATTCTGCCTTAGTTATGTGCCCCTCTTTCCACTATTTATACTTGTCCTTTTTATCTTTCAATTTATCAGAGAGTTCTTTATGCAGCCATGCTGGTTTCTTATGAGAGCTGTTATTTTTCTTCTTTGTTGGTATTGTGCTAGACTGGGCTTTTATTATCTCACTTTTCAAAATTTCCCAAGCTTCTTGAGTTGTTTTCCCCTTGAGGATTTTCATTCATGGAATCCTTCCCAAGCCCTCTCTAAGTTTATTGAAATTAGCTCTCTTAAAGTCCAAGATTCTACTTTGACTGTGTTCTACTGCTTGTGCTTCCATAATGTTGAATTCCAATATTGCATGATCACTTTCTCCCAAGGTTCCTGTGGCTTCAACACCTTCTATCATTTCATCTCTGTTAGTGAGAATTAGATCCAATATAGCTAATCTCCTAGTTCCCTTCTCTACTTTTTGGAAGACAAAGTTGTCTGCTAGGTTTGTCAAGAATCTGTTTGATCTTCCACTTGGTGCAGAGTTTGTCTCCCAGTTGATGTCAGGGTAGTTAAAGTTCCCTGTTACTATTGTGATGTGCTTCCTACATACCTCAGTTAGCTGACTAGCAAAAAGTTCATCTATTTCCTGTTTGGTTGGGTGGACTATAGTATACACCTATGGCAATGTTATTCTCCCCCCCCCCCGCCTTTTATATTGACCCAAATGCATTCAAGACAGTTTGATTTAGTTAATTTTATTTTTTATATTTATTAACTCATAGACCTCTATTGATATATCTTTTGTTCATTGCATTGTGTCTTATGTTTCTTACCTGTAAATCACTGGAATCCTTAGGTCAGGGGTGTCAAACTGCTGGCCCATGGGCCGGATGCATCACAATGAAACCGCACCCACCTCATTGCCGGCAATGGGGAAAAAGCTCCAATACGTCGCGTGACATAACATGACATTGCGAGTTTGACATGTTTGCCTTAGGAATTCAGTGGTTAATAATAAGAAGAAACAGTGGACAACTTAGTTGCTGCAAGAAGTTCACACATACTGACTACAAACAATGACATGACAAACTAGCAAAAATGATGCATTGGAACATCTGCAAGCTATACCATTTGCCTACAAGGAAGAACTGGTGAAACCACAAAATAGACAAAAAATGAAAACGCTAAAGTGCTCTGGGATTTTAGAATTCAAACAGACAAGGACCTGCCATATAATACTCCAGACTTAACAATTTTCAATGAGAAAGTCAAAAAGTCTGGATAGTGAACATTGCAACACCTGGAGTTAGTAGAAGAGAAGAGAAAGAACTGGAGAAAATCACAAAATACAAAAACCTGCAAACAGAAGTAGAACAACTTTGGCAAAAAATAGTATCAATAGTAATAGGCACCCTGTGTACAATCCCAAAATATCTGGATTACCACATGAACAGCACTGGCATTGACAAAATTCCCATCAGTCAATTGCAAAAGGCATTTACGTAGAACAGCTTACATCCTGAGACAATATCTTTAACACTATTACACAACACCTCTCTGTCCTAGGATCTTGGGCAAGACTCTATAGGTGGATAAAGTGTCTGGCCATTTTTCTGTTAGATAACATCAAGCATGGACAAGTTAAAAATGTGATTAATAAAAAATACATCCAAAAGAGTGAGAAAATTGCTGAAAACAAAATTGAACTGAGGAAACAGCATCAAAGCCATCAATACCTGGGCATACCTATGGATACAGTACATTACTGAAATGATTAAGTGGACACAGTTGAACTTTAACTGTAGTTGAAAAGAAAAAAGTATGGAAAATTAATATGGCAATATCAGGGGATAGTAGAGTAGAAGACAAAAAATGGAGAAATCACAGTTTATCAAGATCCAAAAATCAAAATGGAAAGAATATGGCTAAATCAGCTGTGGTGGTCTCAGTGGTTATTGGCACACTGGGGACCATACCAGAAAATCTTGGATAGGACTTAGAAAATTTGTGCATTGACAAAATTTATATCTGTCAGTTACAAAAGACCACATTGCTTGGATCCATGCATATACTAGGCTGATATATTACAACATCCTACATTTTTGTGAAGAACTTGATGTGTAAGACCAAAACCCAGCTTAAAGAATGAGCAGCTATGATTTCACACTGTTGTGTATATAGTAGACTATCTCACTTACATAATGTATGCAGACAGTGCCACCTGCTGATGAACTGGTACAATATTTTATTTTATTTCATCTTACATATTATAGGCTTCATTTTAGGTAACAGATTGATAACTGTAAGAATGCAAACTGAACAAAAACATCCTGTGTGAATTACCAGCCAAATATTTCCATAAATGGAACTTTTTGAAAACTTCTTCTTTGTTTAGTGTTCAGATATGATGATCAGCTTCCAGTGAATTCACTAGAGGTGAACAAGAAATCAATCAGCAAAAAATGCATTTTTATGTTCCAAAGATGGAACATGGAAATAAAAAAGATAAGCCAAAATTGCACCATATTCTGTACTTGTGTCTAATGGTGCAGTTTAGAAGTGGTGTGACTGTAGTCTACCAAAATATGGTGTAGTTTTATTATATAAAAGTGCCCTTAAATTGAACTCAGCTTCTGGTGGCTATATTCAAGTATATCATGGTAGTATTGTAGAAATAATTTGCTAATGCTTCTCATGGGATGTTTTCTTCAGCATTCCAATTTACTCAACATCAGTCACCCTCCAAGAACAGGGAGTCCTCAACTTACAACTATTTGTTTAGTGACCGAAGTTACAATGGAACTGATAAGTGACTTATGACCCTTTTTCAAACTTATGGCCACTGCAGCATTCCATGGTCACTTGATCAAAATTTGGATGCTTGGCAACTGGCCTGTATTTATGACGGTTGCAGTATCCCAGGGTTATGATGTCACCTTTTGTGACCTTCTGACAGCAAAGTCAATGGGGAAGCCAGATTCATTTAACAACCGTGTTATTAACTTAACTGCAGTGATTCACTTAACAACTGTGACAAGAAAGGTCATAAATGGGGCAAAACTCACTTAACTGTCTTGCTTAGCCATGGAAATTTTGGGTTCAATTGTGGTAATAAGTGAAGGACCACTTGCACTAACCAGGACCAACTCTCCTTAGCTTTTGAAAGTAGCCAAGATGAGCTAATCTGCCATCTGCTGAAGTATTGTCATGGTGTATTGCCTGGACTAGGGATTAAGGTGCTGGACTGGAAATAGGGAAACCAAGTTTTATCCCTGCTTCAGACATGGAAACCAATGGGATGATTTCACAGCAGTCACTTTTTCTTAGCATTAGGAGGAAGGCATTTGCCAACCACTCCTGAAATTGTTGTCTAGAAAGTTGCAGGAACCAAAGCCAACTGGAAAACTTTAAAAAAAAACCAACAACATAATATAAATATAAAATGCAGAGAAATTTTAATAAAAATGTTTTCAACTGAGTGAAAAGTATTAAACAAGGAATAAGGTGAATAAGGGAGGTGAAAGTCAACAGCAGAAATTTTGTAAAAGTGTTTTAGAGATTTGTATGGAAATAGTAGGGTTATGTCAAACAGTGATACTTTAAAGCAAATGTTAGGTTTGTATCTAAGAAAAAAATGGATGAAAAGGAAGTCATAAATTGACATGAGGATGCTGAAAAATGGTTAGACTTCCCAGGTAAGTTTTATAACTCAGTAAATGTTAACTTCTGAATGTTATTGGATGTTGGACTAGTTGTACCACTCTTTGCACCCAACACTATTCAGTGTTTATATGTTCTTTCATCTACGCTGACACAGATGCCATTTGATTCTCTTCTTGGGTCCACATAATAAAGCCAAAATTATTCACACTTTGCTAACACGTCAGAACTGCCCTAAGAATATATGGGGCTGCCATTTAACAGTTTGAATTTGCAAATAGTATGGTAACCAGTTAATAATTTAAAGTTAAGCAAGCAACATTACTTTCCACTCTATTTTGAAGTTTGTTTGATTTTAAAGTTTTTAAAGTCTTAAAATGTATGTACTTAAAAGTCCTGCTTCAACATCTGTCAACTAAGATGTCCTCTTACTTTCTGGGATTACAGAAAGTGATTTTTAGACAGGTTGCCCTCCGAGCTTTCTGCTTGGCTCATGGACATTTTGTTACCAAACTAGGTAACATCTTCAGTAGGGTTTGGGGTGAAGTGTCTTGTATAGTTTTAGTATCAAATTTTGTAATTGCACCTCATAGTGTTGTTCTTTTAAAGTAGTCATCAACAGTCTACTTTCATTTCATTAATCATTTACTATGGCTTTTATGCTTTAACTTGATTTTGATTTTTTTGAAATGTAAGCTATCTTATTTAAAGGGGAAATCTTACAAATACAATGTCTTTCCCACAGTTGACACCAGCAGCTAATGGAATGCTTTTTTTCAGCATTGTTCCAGTATCTTTGGACATACTTTCTTAAAGAGATTTAGAACTGTTATTACTACTGAAATTTAGGGGACAATTCCAAATTTTAAAATGTTTTCCTTTGTTTTTTTCCTTTTCCTTTTTTAATTTCATTAGCTGTCACTTCAACTTTTAACATTATAGTCATGCCTGCTTTATTTTTATCTATATGCAGCCTTAGTTTGAATATTACATCTGAAATAATGCAAACGTGTATGGAACTACCTGAAGCCACAGATTCATTACAATGGCCCTCATAGACACCAATCCCCTTCTATAAAAATGAGAATATTACTAAAAGCCGCATCTGTACTATGAAATGGAAAAAACGTAGGAAAGCACAAGGGCATTAGAAATGTAAAAGAGCACTAAATATACACACAAACAGTGTTTTAATAGAAAAATGTTTAATATCTTCAAAAAATTTAAAGAAACAATTACTATCATACAATTCAGGGTTTTCTTTTGCATATGTTTAGATTCATCTACTAACATGAATGTCAGTGTAATCTTTTCTTCACAACACAAAACAGATATAAATCCATGTGCAGGAACAGTTATTTTTCAGTGCCTTTGCAAGTGGCTAGAAGACTGTATTACCTGGAATATTTTGAAGCACCAACTGCCAGTAATGCTAGAGGGAGGTGGTACCCCTATGCAGGCATTCTCCACAATCCATCAACTCTCCTCTCTTTCGTATCTTGTAAGTACTTGGATCTGCTCTGTCCTCTGGGTTGGCTTATCCAAAGGTGAGCACAAAACTAGTTACTTTTCTGTTTTCTTGATCAATCACTGACCAGGAGTTGTTATTTATAAATATGGAAAAAAGTTAATGTTACCTTCAACATTTTCAAAATGGATTCTCTCACAAGGATAGACCAAGCCAGGATGTTACAAGAAAGTACAGATTTATTACTCTGAGGTTGATGAGGAAGGGAACAGGATTGTAGAGTTGCGATTCTATTGTACTGACATAATACTCTTAGGCCTGATAACATGAGAATGTTTCTTTTTCAAATACTGAAAAAAAACCAGGGACACATTCGTTAAACAAACTGCCTGCAACAAATCCTCTTTATATAAGGAGAAAATGAGAAAACAGTCCTTTAGCTAGTCTTACTCATTCTCTCTCTTTTGTGGCTTTAGATAGGAATGATGGGGCTATGTATTTTTTGCTATCCATTCTTTCTTCCTAACAAGAAGGAAATACAATCTTCAATCTGCAGCGATCAAAAAGGCACTAACCCATCAAGTAGCCCCTAGAAGACAAAGAAAATTTTGAGTGGAAATGTGAAATAAAAGTAATGCTATTTAGTTCACAGTTGAGTCCATTACATAATGCTAAATTCTTATTCTGTCAGTACCAGTAATCGGAGGTAGAACATTTGAGGGACCACAAAGTCATTCTTGATCTAGACAGAAATAATTTAGAAGGACAAAAAAGGCCATATGCAAGTTGTTACTTCTGTTTAAGGAACTGCAGAAGACCTTTCTATGCATCAGATATAACGACTACATAGTCATGTATTGTAGTTCATATGTAGTAGACAAGAAATCAAATTAACCACCAATCATATGTGTCTTGTTGGATGTTACTACAATTATTAGATTGAAAACCTTTATTAACCATAATCTTATTCTTAATTTGAAAGTTTCTAATCTGAGAATAACACTAATTTATCTTAAAGTACTATGAAAATGTAGTACTAGATAGCATTTCAAAATATTTAATTCCTTCATGTCAGATATTAATAGTTTATTTCTCCAATTGATTTCTTCAATTTAATAAATATAATAATCTCCAGTCCTACCAAATAAATGCCCACAGATAGACTTGTGTTCGCATGTTTCTCCAACTAATATGTCTTTTAAAAATAACTTGAAATAATTTCTTTAGCTCAGTTTTATTATTTTTATGTGCAAGTTAAATTTTGGTTTAAACAAAAATTAAGAATGAGGGGAAAAGGGCCATAGAGAAAAAAATGACTTACGGTAATTTCATCCGCATAAAAACTCTCGCCATGAAGAAACTCAACAGGACGCTCACAAATCCAATAAAAAGTAACAGAAATCTATTCAGCTTTGGGATATTTGGTGCATTGGAACGATCCAGTATTATGAAACCAAGTCCACCCATTGTAAAGAGGAAACTTGACGCGAGCCCTTCCATAATGTATTGTCCATTTACTCTGCATAGAAAATGAGTAAATGATCAACATTAGAGGTGTCCAGAAATTTATGTGGGATTTATACATGCAGGTATTTTATACCTACAGATTCCATAATCACCTAACCCAGGCAAAACAACAATATTCATAAGTTCACTAATAGGGAAATGTGCCTTTTGTTCTGACCTATTAGGGCAGCGTTTTTCAACCTTGACAATTTTAAGGCATGTGGACTTCAACTCCCAGAATTCCACAGCCAGCATTGCTGGCTGTGGAATTCTGGGAGTTGAAGTCCACATGCCTTAAAATTGTCAAGGTTGAGAAACACTGTATTAGGGAATTAATGCCATTAAAACAAGGTGAGAAATCCCCAGAAAGAAAAGGAATATATATGTATCAGTTCCAAATTATTATTTAGAGAGAACAAATCCCACCAATTTGAAGTGGATCACAAAATAAAGAATCCAAATGTACTTTTCAATTTTTTTTAGAAATTGCCATTGCATATATTTATTATATTGACTTTAGTCATAATCTTCCACTTGCTGCTACCCCGTCTTCTTTGTTCATTCAAAAAATAATGAAAACAGGAAAAAAAAGAAATTAAGGAAAAACCAGGAGTAGGAACAAAAACAATTCATGTACCATGAATCCAAATAAAAAGAACTGTAAAACAAACCAGCGAAAACAAGAAAAATAATTAAGTAGCTAACCATAGACTTTACAATGCACAGGGAATGAAAAAAAAATCTCCAGACAGAATGAAAAATAAATGTACAAAAGTCTTCAGTCTTGGATGGACTGTTCTGTAAAACTCTGGATTATTCTGCTTTGTTGTGCTGCTTTTCTTTGGAAACAAATCAGAAGTGGCTCAAAGTATTATGAATACAACATTCTCGACAAAAGAAGGTCAGATCACCCCCGGAACACTTTGAACTGCTTCTACTTTGAGAATTTACGTCAAAACTGCCAATTTTCCCCACCCACCCCCTTCCCTTGAATAGTATGATCTGGAAGAATCCAGAAGGAAATGAAATCTGCCAGCACACTCTGGAACAATACCCTCTCAGATTAACACATTTTGCACATCTGTAAAAACAAAACAAATATAGAAAATATGCCACTACTAAAAATGCCTTCTTTCTTGTAGATAAGAGATCTGACCCTATAATAATTTTGCAATATATCATTTTAATATTTCAATATACTTTTAATATTATATTTTACCTGTATGCCAAGAATGCCACAGGCTTCTGATGTCCATGTTCATCAGTCATTGAACCAACACTGGGAGGCTCTACAATCACATCATAAATTATTCCTACAAAGGAAAAAAATATTTATAAAGAAAAAATGATTCTTTATTAAAGAACTCTTCCAAAAAGGAAGGCAGAGTTCACAAACACATCATTCTATTGCTAATAGCTACAAACAATAGTTCTTAAAATTTCACAACCATCACTTTTGCCTGTCCTCAGGTTCTAATGCTGCATATATAGAAACATACCCTCCACCAAGATTTTATTAGTTAGTCGCCTTGTCAGGTTTTTTTTTAGTTTGCCATTTTTCAAATTTCCTTCAGCCAATTTTTAGCAGTAAAGTTTACTTCTCTCCTAAAAAGTCCATTGGTTTATTCCATAGGCACAGTGGGATCCAAACCTTGTTTGTCCAAGATCTGGTAAAAGTGGGTGATATTCATTTCAGTAAGTCTACCTTCTGGACTAATGGAGTTTGGGAAGGTAGATTATGATTGGTTATTAGATTTATATTCTACCGTTATATTCAAGGTATACATGTTATTTTTCTCTGTAATCATGTGTGGTAAGATGGACTGAGAGAAAGTTACTGGCCCAAAGTCACCCACCGAATTTCCATGGTTGAGGGTGGACTAGAATTTGAGTCTTATTTTTAGTCCAACAACTTAACAAATACACTACACTGGCTCTCACAACTGAATGATATTTCTACGAATTAACGGGTGAATGGGAGTATTCTCTCATATATTTAAATGAACTGAGGTATTATTTTTCAGCTATTTTGATAGCAAAATGTTTTAAAAATCTGATTTGTGTATGTTGTTTGTCCCATCTGCAGTGTTTTCTCTATCCCCAATTATATACTTTCTTTGTACATACTTCAATGTGTCCATCTCACACTGTGTTCCTGTCTGTTTTCTCTGTTCTTCTGTAGAGATGAAGCCAGGAATCACTCATAACTTTTACTTCTTGTAATAGTATCTCGACTGTCTTTAGCCTTATGCATAAAACAATTGCATCCATACTATTTTAAAAGTGTTAAATGCAATCACTAATCATATATTGTGATTCTTTGAAGTAATATAAGAATGTGCATTTTACTGCAAATTGGAAGCTCAAAGTATTACAGAATTCCTGCAATAACATCTGAAGTTCAAGAGAGAATATTTTGTAACAATCCGGTGGCATTGTCAATCACTAAACGAGAATGAAGGAAAGAATAGTTTGTACTCTAAGACCTTCACAAACTAATCCAATTAAAACACTGCAGTAGTCAGAGTTCTTCTATATCTCTAAATAATGTTCAAATATATTTTACTGTATTTTCAACACACAGACACTGAAGCAGACACTCATATATATTCAAACATTTTAAGAATGCAACAAAATTTATAAGCAAAAAATGTATCGATAAATGTGATAATGAAGTTTTAACTGAGTTTGATACAATTAGAAATTTATTAGTTTAAATATGATATAGCAAATGTTAAGGGAAATAGAGAAGAAATATTTGATGATGTAACCTGAGATATGTACTAAAGATTTTGTTACTGAACTATTGACCAACCCAATCACCACATTGCTTTACAAATACTTAAATGTAAAACTGGAAAACCAATAAAATATTATAAAAAAAGAATGCAACAAAATTTAATCTAGCAAAATTAAGTAACCACTTAAATGAAAACATGGAATCTTGTAATTAATTTTCTTTCAGGCTTATCATGATCCTTTTTCATCTGTTAAAGAGCTGCCTATTCCCTGCTCTATCCATCAGCAAATCTGATTACAGGTAGTCCTCAATTTACAACCACAACTGAGCACAACTTTTATGTTGCTAAGTGAGACATTTGTTAAGTAAATTTTGCCCCATTTTATGACCTTTCTTGCCACAGTTAAGTGAATCAGTGCAGTTGATAAGTTAGTAACCTGGTTGTTAAATGAATCTGGCTTCCCCATTGACTTTGCTTGTCAGAAGGTTGCAAAAGATGATCACATGACCTTGGGACACAACAATGGTCATTAAGTATGAACCAGTTGCCAAGAATCTGAATTTTGATCACATGATCATGGGGATGGTACAAAGGTTGTAACTGAAAAATGGCAATGTCACTTTTTTCAGTGCTGCTGTAACTTTGTACAGTCACTAAATGAACTGTTGTAAATCGAGGACTATCTGTATATAGGGTAGGGCTTTTCGGATTTGGGCTGCAAAACGTAGAAAAATATTAGAATCCAACTAAGAGATAAAAGGGTTTTTTTTTAATTTGTTTCCTGACATGCCTACTTGTCTGAAGTTCTGCAGCACGGATGGTTTGTAAGAATAAAAAGTTATGGATACGTGACCAGTACAGTGACAAAAAATTTAGCAGTATCTCCTTTTGTTAGAGGGAATTCCTCTGGCTCAGCCACCTTTTTGCTCCTTTTCTGAGCTGCGCCGGGAAAAGAGCAGGAGAGCCGGGTAAGGAATACTGAAGACCCTTCTGGTTATAGTCCGGCCTTTTGCAGCCCGGACGCCACGTACTCAAGGAACAACTGAAGACCGTCGCCTGAACAGACATTTCCAGGGAACACGCAGCGAGGGTTTCCCGCATGCGAAGTTACATTACGAGCGGGCAGGGGGGAAATGGTCCCCTCAATCTAAGGGTCGAGCGGGGGGGAAGGAAGGGAGAAAGAGGTCCACGGCGGGACTGAGCGTCGGGCGGCGCCCCCGGTGGGTATTCAGGCGCCGGCGGCGCAACGGGGTCGTCTCGCTCCCACCCCCGAGGGTCCAGCGGCTCCTGAACTCCTTCGCCGGGAGAAACCTCTCCTCCTACCCCGGCGGCTTCAGCCCGTTGCTGTCTCTGGCATTACCTCCCGTGATGAGGAAGTAAGAAACCACCACGAGCGCATAGACCGTCATGGCCGAGGGCATGTGCACCCAGCTCGGCCGCTTGAGTTTAATGTTGGGGCATTCCAGCACCAAAAACGGCACTCGGTAGAGGGTCTCCATAGCGATCCCAGCTCCAGCCTCGCCCGCTCTCGTAGCCGCTGCCTTCCAGCCCACCGAGATCGGATACTGGGCTGACCTATCGCGGCCGCCGTAAGTATTGTAACGGCACTGCCGAAAAGTTAACGTCCTGGAAGGGAAACAAAACAAACGCTGCGGCGGAAACTAAGTACTAAAGACGAGAAATAAAACGAATAAAATGTTGAACGAAAAAGGACAGAGTTTTAACGACAGGTTACTAGCAGAAAAGATGTGCTAGGTGGCGTTCTATCGGGATGAAGGCCATTTAACGCGGTATTAATCTTCCAGGACCTTAACTTGCTCGACGTGGTCATTGAATGAATAAACGTGGCCCTGCAGAAGTAGATGACACAGAAGCCACGCCCACCAAAATGGGACCAGCCAATGGTATAGCGTAAGAGTTTAATGCGTGTATTTAACCTGGAAGAATGTTTGAAAAAATGCCGCCCCGACTTGAGACTGCAATTCTGCCCGAGCGACAATGTTTATTTCAATTAGACAACTATAGTTGTAATTCCTCAGCGAAATTAGGCTTATGCTCAGCTATGCTTCGGCTAACCGCTTTTTAAAAATTTATCCACTTTCCGTCTGCAGCACATGCTAAGCCTTAATTAAATAAATCATATGGAAATGTAGTATTCTTTAAGCCTGAGATGAGATTCATATATAGGCACATTCTGTAGTCGCAACATTAACTCAGCTCTTTTCTCACGCAATTCCCTTTGGCTCTCATCTACCCTTCTCACCCAAGAATTATGAATCTCTTAAGACCCTGCTATTATTTTGTGTCTGTTCCCTAATGGTTGACTGAAAGATTTGGAATTTCGTGTGCTGAATAAACGTCCAGGATTTCTTAGAGACATAGCAAAGTGGTTCAAGTTTTCCATGTGCTCAGTGGCTAGTAGTTTTATTTTAAATCCCTGATTTGTCCATTTAAGTGGGACAAGTATCCATAAGATTGCAGCCCTTGATTTTTAACGAGTTCTAAGTTATGGTTTTCATTAAAAGTAGCCACCATTTTGGTATTACTCCCCATTTCATTCATGCGACTTAGCCTAATAATTTACACACATAAAATGAAATGGTAATTATAAAATGAGAATTTATATGCAGTATTTTTACCCTAAATTGACCTCTGATAAATACTATAAAGAGACTGGCTCCACACATCATGTGACACATTCATTTGGTTCTGGTTTAATGTGTAAACTGAGCCATTGTGATTTGTTAACCATGCCTAACATAGCACAACATATGAACTCAAAGTTTATGGTGATGACCCGTTGCCTGGAGGCCGTACGGGTCTGGATGGGGAGGAACAGACTCAGACTCAACCCTTCCAAGACCGAGTGGCTGTGGTTGCCGGCGCCCCGGCATAGCCAGCTGACTCCATCGCTGTCTATAGGGGGCGAAACTTTGGCCCCCTCAGAGAGGGCACGCAACTTGGGTGTCCTCCTGGATCCGCGGCTGA